AAAAAAAATGTAGTGAAATATGACGCCTATTGAAAGATCAATGAATGAATGCGAGTATGGATGTTAGTCTTCTTTAGACATGCATTCAAATCCAATAACAGAATTTCAAATCTGTCTCATTGATTATGAATCATATCAATAAATTATCGCACCACAAATATTGAAAGATGTCTGACTTGACAACCAAGCAGAAAATGATCTAAAGATTGAAAGAACACTACAAACAATTCAAACTTATTAGATTTGAACTTTTTGATTGACTCTAGCACGTAGTTTAACCAGTTACCGAAATTTGTGTTTTGACATTCTCTAATATCATTCTCCTACTTCGATTTTTTACTGACGAAAAAATGTTGTGTCACATGATTCAATACATAAGGGCATTTTTCTTCATTTAGGTACAAATAATCCAAACGGTTTGAATGCATACCTAATCTTCTCTTCATTTTCATCTGCACCCACATCTTTTACTTCCATTTTTTTTTGTGTATGCTCAACTTTTCGGTGCTGAACATTCTTGTCACTCATCCCTCACTAATTCATATTTATTATCACACAATTTTTCTCTAACAAAAATTAGTGAAATTTGAACACGCTCATTCAATTATTCATGTCATATAACATGAGAAAAAAAAACATACTTGAACAGGTGGACAAATATTTCTTGACGGGCAAACACAAGTATAATTTCCTTGTTCAGATCGACATTGTCCGTTAAATGGACATGTAACATTATGACAATTATTACATTGTCCCATATGAATTGGTTTTACATTTAAACGTCCAATACAAGCATCATATTCAAGATGACATTGTGATCTAAATAAGAATCAAAATTTATATTTGAACAACAAAAAAAGTATTAATTTTAACAACTTACGAATAAGTAATACCATTACTACCACATATTATATCTTGATAAGAATATATTTCTGAACATGATTGACATTCACATTCTACTTGACCATTAGATTGTTGTTTACATTGACCATATGGACATTGAAATGTATCACACATTGGCATACCTAAAATTTTTCTCGAATAATTATTTTGTTTAATGTTTAATTATCTCTCTTATTCTAATTTTTTTCTTTTTCTCAGACTTTGTTTTATATTCAAACATAGGAATTAATAATATTGACAATTAATCAAAAGAAAAATAGACGACAGAAAAAAACATTGTTGATTGAGAGTAAATAGATATACGTAACTTACAATATGAATTAACAATTAGTATAATATTTTCTTCTTTAATACAACGATCACGTTCCATTTCACATAAATTATGATAGAAAATACCATTTGATCCACATATCTTTAAATAAAAACAAAAAAATTTCGAAATTAATTTTTCTATTACTTTTTTGTTTTTTGTTTTGTCTTTTACTTTATTTTCTTCTGATGGACAATTAAATAGACATCGACACACACCAATACCATCTTCAACGATACATGTCTTTCCATTCAAACAACTAAGAGCCTTGCAGGCTAAAACGAAAAGAGTAAAATCTTGCTTACTCTTAAATCATCAGGGAGCACTTGACGCTTCGGCGAAGGACAACAAGAAAGAAAGATGACGAAGAAAAAAAAAGAAAAAGGAAAACTGATTGTCGAGAGACATTATTGTCAATTAATGCAAATTAGTTTAGGCAAAAAAAAACAATTTTCTTTCTTTTCAACGAACTTAACAAGAGTATCAAAATGAAAAAAAAAAGAAATTGATTATTGAGCATGTAAAATTATCCTATATATATTCTAGATTACCTTCAGTTTGTTGATGTTGTTCAGAAAAATTACATGGACCATCATACAATTTTGTTAAATGTATATTTGATTGACATGCATATTTATTCATTTCACATTCATTATAATATTCTTTAAGATTACTTGCACATAAAAGATGATAATCAGATAAACATTGTATATGAGGATTACATTCATTAACATTTTTAGGACAATTTGAATGATGACAACCTTCTATAAATAAATATTTTTGTTTTTTTCAATAGTTTAAAAAACAATCATGAAGCAACAAAAAAGAAAGAAGAATCGCAACGTACGACATTCACCAAGATATGCAACAGTCAAATTTTGTTGTGTTTGACATGCTTTTTTATTTAATTTACATAATGATTCATAAGTTTGATTGTCACTACCACAAACATATCCTTCTGATGGTATTGTATGAACATATTCATTGCAATTGTCCGGACAATCGCAACTAGACAAACCACTCACATCTATTCGACATACAGACCCATGGGAGCATATTGATGTACATGTCGAGTCTTCTAAATACATGTAATCTTTAAACTATTTATTGTTTCATGTATTCTCTTATTCACTTGCCTTTTCTCGAAAATCCTTGTTGATAATAAGAATGGCATTGAGCTTGATCTAATCGACATTGATTAGGATACATGATTCCGGTTCTCTCATCTTGAACTGGCTCTCCATCATCGTTACAATTGAATATACATTGACATTCATCTTGTTTAGTACATGTTGCATTAAATTCACATTCGACACGTCCATATTGACATGCTAC